AAAAGGTTTTTAAACAAACTTAAAAATCCTTCAGAAGCTGGTGTGATTTGGTTTTCCACAGATGAGAAAATTTTTGCTCAAAATCAAAAACTTAACAGAAGAAATGACAGATGGCTTTATTCAGATCCTTCTGAGGTGCCAGGAGTCATGCGCACAAAAGTGTTATGGTATTGGGTGTTGTTAGCAATGAGGGACATGTTATGCCACCATACTTTTTTCTACAAGGTCTTAGTGTAAATGCTGCTACTTACATTGAGGTTCTAGAAACAGTTGTCAAGCCCTGGATTGACAACATATGCAACGGCAGGCCTTATATATTCCAGCAAGACTCGGCTCCAACCCACAAGGCTCTACGAAGACAAAGGATTGATGGCTGACCATTTCTACGACCACATCACACCCAACATTTGCCCTCCTAATTCTCCAGATTTCAATCCACTAGACTATTATATTTGAAGCGTTGTTGAGAAGGGGGTTAATAAACAGCCTCATAACACCAAAGACTCTTTTAAAGCTGCAATATTTCGAGTAATGTCTGATATAAATAAGGACTGATTAATCAGAGCTTGCAGCTGATTTCGACCTCGTACAGAGGAAGTTATTGATGCTAGTGGTGGTTTTATTGAATAAAATTAAAGAGTAGTTAGCTAAATTTCATGTTTACTTGTTTGTAATCAAATATAATTATATTCATTTGTTCAGCAAGCTTTTTACTAATCCATAAAATCTATCCTCAGATACCAGCCGCGTCCTGTATATATATATAAAAGTGAACATTGAAGTCAACACTTAGAGGCGATAAGCTATTTCATGCTAGACGCAATCGTCAGTGTTGCCTTAATGTTCACTTTTATATCTATATACGCTCTATCTCTGGTAGTGAGCACTTTATCCCATAAATATAGCACACCTTAAGACTATATTTCTTCATATATATATATATATATATATATATATATATGATACATAAAATTTGAATGGTCAGAGTTGAATAATAAGAAGAAACAGTGGTCTTAAAAAGTACTCAATACACGTGTGAAAAAATAAAATAAAACTCAAGATAACATATAGAACTTTTGACTTTAAAAAATCAGGAAGTCAGTTAAATCTGCTACCTTGGTTTCAACCTTACGGTGTCCTCAGGCGATTTTTATTAGATGACCTTTTAACGGTTTATTTTTTAAAAAATAATGAACGCTATTTTATTTTTGTTTAATAAAAATCGGCTGAGGATCCCGTAAGGTTGAAACCAAGGTAGCAGATTCAACTGGATTTCTGATTTTTTATATATATATATATATATATATATATATATATATATATATATATATATATATATATATATACTTAAGTTATGAAGAACTTGGTAATCCGTATGGGTAATCCCAAGGAGGATGAAATCCTGAGAGCTCAAGGTGAATCCAGAGCTAATGTTTAAAAGAAAAACAGACCACTTGCTGTCCAATCCTTATTCAACATTTGCCTGCATTTGGCTGAATTGTATTTTATTTGAATATTAACAGCTTATATCATATATATATATATATATATATATATATATATATATATATATATATATATATATATATATATGTATATATATATATATATATATATATATATACACGCGCGTTAGTGTGTGTGTGTGTGTGTTTGTTTGCTTTTATGTTTTTATTTGTTTTTATTATTATTATTATTATTATTATTATTATTATTATTATTATTATTATTCAATTCCTTTCAGCGGTCCCAGTGAAACTTCCCAGTTCTTGAAAATGACTGAAAACGTCGGAAGTATTTCAACAAAAACAGAATAAAACATGAACTCCGGACAGTTTAGCTAAAAGAATTTATTCATTTATACAATATTTTATTCTAAAATCGGAGACATGCAATAAAGATTAAACCCACAGACCTTTTTGGGTGAATTTAACAAAAATATCATTAAATATATATGATAGGATAAAGAAAAATAGGAAACAAGTTTTACTTTCATTAAAGCTTCAGCAAAGAATTAGTGATGGAGAAAAAAAAAGTAATTCCGGTATTTTTATTTTTGTTTTCTTTGATTTTCATTGGTTAATCAGGCTTCACGTGAATGTAACTTGTTCAGCAGCGTTAGTATAACTTATGCCGTTTCGCACAGATGACACGTTTTTTCGAAGCTCCAAAAATCATCGACTCCAAGCCTAACAGAAAAAAAACATAAATATCGTATTTTGTATATAAGTGTGAAACAATTCTAGTTTGTCTATGTAAGATTTGGATGATAATGTATAGTTGTAAATGTGTTTATGTCTAGTAGACATTATTTAGATCTATGTTGGTTGTTCTTTTGTTTATTTGGGGATGTTTTTGCATGAACACCGTCTGTGGCAGCTAAACATACGTTAAATTCTTTAAGAATGGTTGATATAATAATGCGTTATGACGTGAGTTTATAGTTGGTAAAATATTTATCAGCAATCACTGGCAGTATTTTCGACGTAAAGAATTATGTTCTTATTTTTAGATAGGGAGGCTTTTGCAAAAATCAAATTTCTGACCAGTTTTCTTCATGTGTATTATACATATTCGAATTTCATTTTCTACCACATCCCAAAGGTCCTCTACAGGATACAGATTCGGTGAATGTAGTCCTGATCTAAATCAAATTACAAATCTGTGATTCAAATAAAAGAAGGCAGTACATGCAGGAAAATCAGGAATTCTGAGATATTTGTCTAGAAGAATGGTTAAAATTTGACGCTCATTAATTCCAGAAACTTCCTAAAATTTATAACAAAAGACTTGACGAGTAACCAAATATTAAATGTAAGGGTAAAATTACTTTTGTGCATCTTAAGTTTTAATTTTTAATCAATATTTTGATTCCAGCTTGCTAAAAAAAATTTGAAACTGGATGAAATTCTTTTGATAAAGGTTTTTCTTAATGAATATATAGTTTAATTAAGATTTGTGGATTATCTGCAAACACAGACAATTTTTTTTAATATTATCTAAGGTGTTCAATTACTTTTGCACGGCACTATATATATATATATATATATATATATATATATATGTGTGTGTGTGTGTGTGTGTGTGTGTGTGTGTGTAAGTGTGCATATATATACTCAACTCTCCCGTCGAATTCGACATATGAGGATCAAGCAGATGAGTTCCTAGGAAACTGACAGCTCGACAATGAAATTTGATTATGGTGGTGAAGGTTTTGTGCAGAACCATCCACACTTGTTGAAGGGCCAAATACAGAGATTTGGTGTACTACGTGCCACAGGGTCCTCAAACGACCCTCCCCTGGTTTTGAATTCAGAGTTGTCCTTTTCCGAGACCAGTTGCCATCAAGGCTATAGAACTCAGTCTGTCTTGCTATTTTACCCATAGCTGGAGAGAGAAGAGGATTCTCACCTTTCCAAAGGGTATTAGCACATTCGTTTCCTCAATACACGCCGCTATCCATTACTCCAACGTGCATGCATGCATATATATATATATATATATATATATATATATATATATATATATATATATATATATATATTTATTTATATATAAATATATATATTTATATATATATATATATATATATATATATATATATATATATATATATATATATGTACACAGACACACATATATTGTTTTAAAATGTATCTTACTTTTCTTCACATTGTCTATGACAGAATCTAAATATATATCTATATCTGCGTCTATATATATATATATATATATATATATATATATATATATATATATATACTTCTGCATAATGTAAGAAGCTCAGACATAGAGCCAAATATGTGTGTATACCAGGATTTATATATGCACATATATGCGTAAATATGGCAGTAGGTATTCGTTGTCTTATATATGCGTCTATGTATATTTGTATATGCATGCGTCTAGATTGCTCCAAGTACTTGTTTGTTTTCGAATGTATGAAGAAAACTATCCTATATATATATATATATATATATATATGTGTGTGTGTGTGTGTGTGTGTGTGTGTGTGTGTGTGTGTGTGTGTGTGTGTGTGTGTGTGTGTGTGTGTGTGTGTGTATTCTTTTCCTCGAACGCACTATATGAGCAAACATTACATATGTTGCGCATTTGCAGGAAAAATTCAAACGCATCTGATAAAATGAAAAAAAAATGCCCAAGGGTTATTTGAAGGAATCAAATCTGGAGGGGAAAAAAATATGAAATTCTGATTCATTAATTATGAATTTAGAAAAAAAAAATTTCTTTTACAATTTTTTTTATTTTGATCTCTGGCCCTCTCGATCATTTTTCATTATATCGATTAGCTGTGAAATTGTTGAATTCAATGAATTTCCACTGTGCGCGCAAACACAATAACACCAGAAAATGTGTCACGTCATTCTGAATATATTTTGAAAGTATTGGAATAAATAGATGCGTTGATATTACCTGCCTATCGATTTGCACATCGCATATGTCGATAATCTATAAAAAATCAATGATCTGCGTTATAGTGAATCTATGATATATTTGCCTGATGTTAAAGATACTAGCGTTATTTGGTGTAAATCTGTTATTCGTATAAATTTGTAGCTTCATTATTCAGCCGTTCAAATATTTTCCCTAGCTTTCTATGATTATAAATCATATTCCAGATAAATCAGGTATTATATCATGAAAGAACGAATCGACTTTTGAATTGATAAATATTTTGATTTCCTCAAGCACATTCGAACAGTTTTCCCATATCTTTGACTTGCAGGATTTGCAGAGAGAAAAAGAATATTGCATGAAGGGGAAATACCTTGAGAGTACTTTGCATATGCAACACTTTTCCACATCAGTTTCCTGATTGTTCGTTGCATTGTGTTGGTAGCTTAAGGACAGGCGTCGGTATTTAGCCAAATCAGTTGTAGAATTCATTGTTTAGAAACTAATGTCAGTTGTTTACTGAAACGTTAAAACATTAATAGTTTGTTTCAGTTCTTGAAACATTCGATTCCAAGTTTAGATTCTTACCAAATACAGGGAACAAAACTAAGGACAAAATATGCCATCATTAAATTAATGTATTTGCTGGATAGATCTTCCTCTCGATAGATAGGTAGATAGATATACAAAAAAAGATTGTTATAGATAGATAGATAGATAGATAGATAGATAGATAGATATTGACAAATTTTGCAAGATAGGTAGCTAGCTAGAGATATAGATAGAAGGATAATTTTCTTTTGTGTAAAAGTCGCCCCGAACAGCTGGGAACAGGGAAAATGGCTGTGATATATTTAATACAAAATTAATACATTCTCAAGATAATGAAAAAAAAAACAGTGAAAACATTGAGTGTCCTGTTGAGTTTTGTTTGCTCTTTACCAATGCCTATTATTCGTACGAAATTCGAATATCAAATAGATTCAACTTGAAAAATGTTTTTCTAAACATAAGCGAAAAAGTTGAATTTCATGACTGCGATAAATCTCTGAGGCATATTCGCAATGAAAACCCTTCTCATATGAGCCTTGTCATGAATCTGCTACATATTTCATTAGATTACGTATATAAAATTATATTTCATTATATATATATATATATAAATATATATATATATATATATATATATGTGTGTGTGTGTGTGTATGTGTGTGTCTGTGTGTGTGTGTGTGTAAAATGAGAACGAAGAGATTCCAATTCCGACGTTCGTAACATTCAATTTAAAAAAGGGCTCAATAGAGAAGTATGATATATATACATATTTAATTAATTCATCGAGCCTGATAGAAACCTCAACAGAATGCACTGGACGGCCGTTACGTCCTATATTTAGACTCATCAGCAGTGTACATCCACTACCGAGAGTTGAAAAATATATATATATATATATATATATATATATATATATATATATATATATATATTATTAGAGCCAGACAAACCTACCTAGGTTTCACCTAAACGGATCGTCTAAACGGATCGTTTAGGTGAAACCTGGTAGGTTTGTCTGGCTCACTAGGTGTATCTAGGTCTGCTCTACGGTTGTATTGAGCTCTTTTGTTAGTTAGTTGTTACTCGTATCGGGGTTTTTTCTTTGGGCTTCAGACCTGCATCTGTGCGATTTTTTTGTCGGCAGAAGTTCAAGTTTGTAGCTCTTTCTTTTTTTAAACTTTTTTTCCCTCGAGATTGATTTGATTAGCAAATCAAAAATTCGAGGGTTTTTCGAAACGAGTCTAGTTATCTATATATATATATATATATATATATATATATATATATATATATATATATATATATATAAGAGTACAGAATTTCAGGTTTTATTTCTTAGTATTTCCATTTAGATGTGTTAAAATGCTTAGGACAAGTAAAGGAACATATAGTCTTAAAGTAAATTTCATTCAATATTTGGCTGTATAACCCTTGTTTGCAATGCTGCACCAAGCCCACAACCTACTGAAGTCACCAAACTGTTGCATTCTTCATTTGTAATGCTTTTCAAAACTTTTAATGTAGCCTCTTTCAGTTCTTGTTTGTTTCATGAGATTCCTTCCTTCAATCTCATCTTGAAAGGAGATGAAATGCATGCTCTACTGGGTTACAACTCCGATCCGATGATTGACTTCGCCAGATTAAAACTGTCCGCTTTTTTTCCCTTGATGAAGTCCTTTGTTGTGTTGGCAGTATGTTTCGGGTTATTGTCTTGCTGCATGATAAACTTCCGCCTGATTAGTTTAGATGCATTTCTCTGTAAATTAGCAGACAAAATTTTTCTGTAGACTTCAGAATTCATTCTGCTTCTACCATCAGGAATTACGTCATCAATAATTATGAAGGAGCCGATTCCAGAAGCAGCCAAGCAAGCCCAAGCCAAGACGCTTCCTCCATCATGCCTCACAGATGAGCTTGTATGCTTTGGATCATATGCATAGCCTTTCTTTCTCCACACTTTGGTCTTTCCATCTTTTTCGTCGACATTAATCTTGGTCTCATCAGTTCATAAAACTTTCTTTCAGAGCTTTTGTTGTTCATCCCTGTACTTCCTTGCAAATTCCAATTTGGCCTTCTGTTTCTTTCTGCTGACGTGTCTTTCGCCATGGCCTCTATATTTCTACTCACGAAGTCTTCTTCGATGTACGGATTGTAAAATCTTCCCCCCATGAACCTGTGTTGTTTTCTTGGTAATGTCGACTGTTGTTTCGGGGTTATCCTCACAGCTCTCAAAACGTTTCTGTCATCAACTGTTGTTGTTTTTCTTGGCCGACCCGTTTCTTTCTACTTCTGTTTGATTGGTAATGTTTGTCAAATAGTTCTGATCGACTGATCGATTTTCCTTCTTTTTTCAGTTTCAAAACGGCTTGCTTTTCTCCTACAGACATCTCTTTTCATGATGGCTTATCCTTTTTAACACGGATAAAGAGTAGTCATTCAGCGCTATTTAATCTTTAAACAATCAATCTAAAAAGCAACATCTGGGTGACAAGAAACATCTATCAGTAACGTCTTCCAATAGTTTTGCTCTCTTGAAAAATGGGTGGGTTCAAATAAAAGGTGATATGTCCTAAGCTGTTTAACACAACTAAATGTTAATACCAGGAAATAAAACAATTGCGTCATCATCTTTTGGTTTTCAATCCAAATGTCTTCAATGAACAATAAAAAAACAAAGGAACTGGCCTTGACGTTCCGATAATTTTGTAGAGGACGATATATATATATATATATATATATATATATATATATATATTTTTTTTTCGTAATCTAATGAAACAGAAATCCCCATTTTATAGAAGTTTAAAGACAAGAGAAATTACGTTGATTAAGCTTTCTCTCATTTCGTAAAAGTGTTTTCTTTGTTTGACATATGGTGTCAAAAAATGTATATATGTTCTATATATCCGAGCGCTTTCGGCAATTCTATTATCTCAAAAATGTGATGAAATAAATAAAACATCCCTAATTTCTTTCCGTATAACCAACTCATTTCAAGTGGCTTTTCAACTTCCCCGACCTTTGGATTGGTTCTTATTTCGATTTACGTGTTTTTAATTTGACCTTTGAACAAGTTGAAGGTCACTTTTCACTTGAAACTAATAATCAGAATAAAGCTTTGTGTCTCTTCAGCTTTGCATTTTATATATATATATTTACACACACACACACACACACACACACATATATATATATATATATATATATATATATTTGTATAATTAGGCAGCAACAGCGTTCAATGTCTATATTCTAAAGAAATCGAAATGTGAAACCAAACCAAGAACCAGAAATACCATTAGAGGCAACAACCTATAACCGTAACTATTCGGGGGCTTAAGATATGGTGTAATGGTTAACAAGCTTATCTCGCTAAATCAATTATAATTGATTATTAAATTTGATTCTAATTGACTGCTTCATGTTTTCGGCCTTGTACCACATCTAAGCTACACTTTGTAAGTAGCTGTAACCCTAACTCTGAGCTTCCAGCCAAAAGTGCGAGTATCAAACAATTGTGAGCCTCGTTTTGTTGCTGGGTAACGACAGATATGTTTAACAAACTGTTTGCGTTAGGAAGGAAAATATTTGAACATTTTTTTCTGATAAAATAAGAATGAAAATAAAAAATTTAGGATATAAAACCGTTTTTCGAATTTGAAGAGAAAGAAAGAAAGAATAAAAGGAGAATGAAAAATGAACAAAGAAAGAAAAACGAAAGATGAAAATAAAACAAAAAAAGAATAAAGAAAATTAAAAGGAAGAAAAAACAGAATGGAAGAACAAATAAAAAAGAAAGTGTTAAGAAATAAAAAATATACAATATGGAAAATGAAAAAAAAAACGAAAGGACGAAATGAAGAAATGAAAAACGAAAAAGAGAAAGATGAACGGGAGAAATAAAAAAATGAAAAACGAAACAGAGATGAACGGAAGAAGTAAAGAAATGAAAAACGAGCAAAAAAATGAAAGGACGAAATGAAGAAATGAAAAACGAAAAAAAAAAATGAAAGGACGAAATGAAGAAATGAAAAACGAAAAAAAAATGAAAGGTCGAAATAAAGAAATGAAAAACGAAAAAAAAAAGATGAACGGAGGAAATAAAGAAATGAAAAACGAAAGAATGAAAGATGAAAGGAAGAAATAAAGAAATGAAAAACGAAAGAGAGAAAGATGAAAGGAAGAAATAAAGAAATGAAAAACGAAAGAGAGAAAGATGAAAGGAAGAAATAAAAAAATGAAAAAAGAAAGAAAGGACAAATCTGTTTTCGGCCTTTCAAAACCCTTTTCTTATTTATCAAACCTGTTTTAATAAAAGAACAGTTTGTGACATTCCGAAAATAGGGGTTTCAGTTCGAGAATTTTCTTCATTGCTTTGCCAAAATCAGAAACCAGGTGACACCCGGTGACATGTTGGTTTAGCGTGTTTGTGCCACAAGAATAGACACACGTCTCCGCCCAGAAAGAACTTTCACAACCTTCTCCATTTCTTTCCCAGTTGCATTTAACTCCCAACCCTGTCTTCGAGAAGCTGTCCATATCACAAACTAAACTTGTCGACATTTTTTACCTTTTTCTTTTTTTAACTACATCACGTTGCTTATTTCCTGATCAGTAGCAATGCTTACCAAACATTTCCAATGTGAACAAACCAAGAATTAAAATAGAGTAAAGTTTAGCGAAATCAAATTCAATAGAAAAAAAAGAAATTAAAGAAAAATTCAGTAATTTAAACTTCAGGAGAACAAGGGAGATTTCAGACAATAAAATACTGTTATATTTATATTCAGGTCGTAAAGTTTAATGACTCTCCACGACTTCCTGGTGTTTATTGACATAAATAACATTAGAAACATTATTATCCCCGTTGTCTCTGCCATCCATTCATAAAGAACTCGTTAAGTAGGTTATTCGTTTTGCTTCATTATGTCCTGTGTGTGTTAAATTCTCTAAGCATTATTTCCTCGTTAAGCCGCCAGAAATGGCAGCTGTCTTTTTCTGTTTGTAAGTATACGTTTGCTGGCTCTCACAGGCTTTCTGTCTATGGTATTCTTAACATACTTTGGCAGAACTACACCTCTGTTGATTCTTCTCTCTGTGAGGAGACTGTCCATCATTCACCGCAAGCAAGGCAATAAAACCCCACACAGGCAAGAGGTTACTGAGAATTAGAGAATATGAGAAAAATGCTATTAAACGAATAAGAATTAAGAATACAGAAGATAACGATTGACATTGTATTTAAATTTTTGAAGATCAAAGTTGACTAGAAATCAAGGAGCCCGAAGTAAGTTTCACAAGCGAAAAGTGCGAGAGATGAAATTGTTAATATAGAAGTTACAGATATATCCAGTCATTTCAATTCTAAAATGATGAGATCTTGTCGCCAATTCAGTACTGCGCTTAAATTCATAAAGCCTAGGGCAATAGAGGAAAGTTCATATCATGAAAGTATGTATAGAAAAGGTACAGGGACACTACATTACGGCGGTGAGAAAATGATAGGAGCCGAGGTACCAGGTCAGGACCAATAAAATTGCACATTCGTGCGGATTACAAACAGAGGATAGTTATGGAACTGCCTCAGAATTAGCAGAAGAAAAAATCGCTCAGAAAATTCACTCTCTATAAATTTTCAGCTAAGAAGAAAAATATAAAGGCAAAATAAAAATAAAAGGAGCTAGAAAAAATTACGCAGAGGATACCTGAAATAAAGGATTAGGATTACTAAATAACTTGTATTAGGATTAGGATTACTAAATAACTTGTATTAGGATTAGGATTACTAAATAACTTGTATTAGGATTAGGATTACTAAATAACTTGTATTAGGATTCCAGAATTAGTTCGTTGGCATACGCGATAGACGATATATGGCTGACTAGAGAGAAGATGTCCCTTTAATAACTCAGTGTTTCTTTTTGCGGTACACATGTTACTATCCAAGGCTATAGAACCCAGTTTTTCCTGCTATTCAACCCATTGCTGACGGGAGAAAAGATGGATTCATATTTTTTTCAAAGGGTATTTGCGCGTAAGTTAATTTAACAAACCCAACTGGAATTCGAACACCGATCCCCAATTTCTCATTTCGAGTCGCTACTATTTCATCACAACACGCATCCATTCCAGAATACTTCTATTAAAACCAACAACATCAAATTGAAAAGAATCACCAGGTGAAAATACAGGGTGACCCAAGAAAACGGGAATTTTTGAAGTGCGTATTGCCAGACATGAGCAAGTGGCAACACTGTGAGACAGTGACCTTGAGCAATTGGCAACACTGTGAGACAGTGACCTTGAGCAAGTAAACAGTTCACCATTTAGAATTCAAGATGAAATTCACAGTATCCCAGCTGAAATGTTGCAGCAGTCAATGAGGAATCTCAACAGCAGATTTCAAGAATGCATTCGTACAGGAAGACGCCATCTACAGGACGTAATTTTAAAAAAATTAAAATTCCATCATTGTTTCTTAAATGGCATGTTTTATGGTTTCAATTACTATGAATAAAATATTTTTCTTCCATCACTCTTGGTTTTATTGGATTGTTAAAAAGTTCCCATTTGTTTGGGTCACTCTATATAAATAATATAAGTGAATGTTATGTGCGCAGGTAATGTAATGGCTATCGGCGAGGGAAAATGGAATATGCGAGACAGTTTCAAATCCTGACCAAGTCCGTGATGTTACACTCGCATTAATAATCTTGAGAAATTTATGAATGGATTAAGTAGCATGATATGCCGGGCTCTGTAGAAGCATGGGTTTTGGAGAAAAAAATACGGAATCTGGAAAAAAAAATACTGCGACTACGTATAAGAACAGGAAAGAAAACCTGTAAATCATGAACATTAAAATCTTACACATAATAACAGTAGAGACACTTGAACTCAAGTCAATTAATAAGACTCGGATAAACTGAAACTGTTAACTTATCTGAAAAGAGATATTTTATTTTTTAATCAATCCACCTACAAGCACGGCGATAATGTCACTAAGACGCAAGGAATAAATGGGAATGAAAGAGAATGAGTAGAATTTTAAAGGAACCGGAAACCCTATCCTAAACAGGAAATAAGGGATAAACATATACTTCTGTTCAAAAGACCAGGGAGGAGTGTGAACCGGGCGATAGGTAAACTTATTTACTCCTGTTGAAGTATAAAATAAGCACATAAATAGTAAATAAAATTCCAGAGTATTAGGTGGAGACGTTAGAAGCGTAGAGTTGAAGTACACTTTAGTAGGAACCGGAAAGCCAATCCTGAAATGGAAACAGTGTTCTACCAATGTTCAAAAGACCGTCGAAGTGTGTGAATCTGGCGATAGGCGAACCTGTCTACTCCTGTTGAAGAAAAAAAATAAAAAAAATAAATAGTAAATAAAATTTCAGACTCTAGGTGGAGGCGTTAGAATTGTAAATTTGAAGTAGTCTTTACAATAAACTGGAGACCCAATCGTAAACAGGAAACAAGGGATAAAAATCTATTCCTGCTCAAAAACCGGGATGGTGTGCGAACAGGACGATAGGCGAACCTGTCTACTCCTATTGAGGACAAAAAGAATAAAAAATAAATATCAAATAAAATAGCAGAGTTTAGGCGGTAGCATTAGAAAGATATCGAAGAAGGTTTCAGGTGATATTAAAAAGGTTGAGGATTTACACTTTCTTTTCCCTAATCAAAAACCGCCAAGTATAAGATTAAAGATAAACTGCGACAAATGAAACCATGGCACGACTGAGTACGACGGAGAGTGTCAAAGATTTCAAAGGACATGCTCTCCATTTATCCCAAATAAAACTAGCTCTAAACAGGAGATGTAGATTTAGCAAAAAGCTAAATAATTATAATGTAAACGTTGCTTTCGCCCAGGTAACGCCAAGTAACCTTGATTAAAACGAAAAATACAACAATGAAAGGAAAATACAATTAATAGACGCAAATAAAAACTTATTTATAAAAAAAATTCAAGAAAGTATTTTTTTTTCTTTTTTATTAATGGAGAGATACAAACTTCCATAAGATTAAAGATAATGTTCCAATCTGAAGCACGAATTCTTATGACCGAACTGAAATGAAACAAAAACTCCTTGGCATTGTTTTTTTCAAGTTTGAATAAAAAGAAAAGGTAATCCTCTGCCTATATTTTTCTCTTTGAAGGAAAATAAAGAGGTAGAAATCCATCTGCTTATATGAGATTCTTAAAAACATTTTTAAAAGATAATCGTCTTTCTTTCAAATGTTCTATGTTGCATTAGCAACGTAATGCACACGTGCATGCATAAACACATTCACTATCAGTTCGATGAATAGTATTCGACTGATGATTAAAGACATTAAAATTAAATAAAAAAACAGAAATTTATTAGTGAAAATTGTTGCTAGATAGATTTATAGACATGTTTCAATTGAAACAAATTGACCGATTTCCTATGTGGGCATTACAGACTGGAGAAAGGAAAATTATTATCATTCATCCAAGACTGAGCTAAAATGAAAATAAATGTATTTATAGTTCAGACGTTAATACTCTTCAAGTCTTCATTGGTCAACCCCTCTGTCAACTTGGGTAATGCACACACACACACACACACACACACACACACACACACACACACAATATATATATATATATATATATATATATATATATATATTCGCCTTCATGTGTATATATATTATATATATAGGTATGACAATATATATATATATATATATATATATATATATATATATATATATATATATATATATATATATATATATATATATATATATATATATTGAATAATATGGACTATATTATTAAATGAAACATGTTTGAATGAAGATATGCTGCCTAAACATCCATATATATATATATATATATATATATATATATATATATATATATATATATTATCAACAAGAACAGTACTAAGCACGTAAAGGATCATTTCTACAATCAACTTCGGAATGTAATATCTACCCGTGACCATAGGGATAAATTAGTTCTCTTGGGGGACTTCAATGCCCATGTTGTTTCTGACGATCATACATGTAAAGGTGTCTTTGATTGTCACGATCTTGGGCAAATGAATCCTAATGGTCTACGATTATTCTCTATGTGTTGAGAATTTGATCCCTGTATTACGAACACTATCTTTCCACAGCCGAGCTACTGCAAGTTTTCATGGATGCATCCCAGATTGAGAGATTTGCATCTTATTGACTTTGTCATCACCAAGCAGAGAGATGTTCGAGACTTTCTCATCACACGCTCTTTTTTATGCCACCTGTTACCTCTCAGACCACACCCTGCTTCGCAGCAAAGTCATGTTTCGTCCTAACGGTAAACGGTTACAAAAGCCATCCGTACCAAAACGTCTTAATGTCTCATTGCTGAAAAACTATCAAGTACAAGTCGATCATTCTGATAGACTAGACACTGCTCTTTGGGCAGGCATTATCACTGCTGACGTTGAATTATCATGGAAGGCATTGTGCGAAGTGACTCATGCTGCCTCTCTGGAAGTTCTTGGGCTTCCACT